CAGTGCGGACCTGTATTTGATCGTGAGGTCCCCTGTGAGGTCTTAAGTCACCTGATTCACGAGCCCGTTGTACTACATTAACAAAGGCACGAGGGGTTGGTTGCACTCGATTGGGAAACCGATCCGCATAAACATGTGCCATTTTTTATTTCGTTTGAGCCACGCAACAGACACTATTCACACGCGACACTGACACTGACTGTATGTATAACTGAACTGAATAAAATAATAAACTGTACACAAACATCGTTCCAAATTCTTTCGCTTTTTTGTTTCCGATGCGATGAACCGGTAAGGCGGATTATATCCGTTGTTGCCAAACACGAGCACATGATATTGAGACAGGGCGGTACTCAAACTTCCAAAGGCCTATAACTTTGTTACTTTAATTTTACCAGAAAAATGGTAAAGGAAAAAAACATTTCTTTTGATCAGATCTATTCACTGTTAAAATAAATAAAACAAAAACAAAAAAGCGAAAGAATTTGGAACGATGTTTGTGTACAAGTTTATTATTTTATTCAGTTCAGTTATACATACAGTCAGTGTCGCGTGTGAATAGTGTCTGTTGCGTGGCTCAAACGAAATAAAAAATGGCACATGTTTATGCGGATCGGTTTCCCAATCGAGTGCAACCAACCCCTCGTGCCTTTGTTAATGTAGTACAACGGGCTCGTGAATCAGGTGACTTAAGACCTCACAGGGGACCTCACGATCAAATACAGGTCCGCACTGAAATACTTGTCGGGAGGATACTTTATAAAACAAGGTAAAAAATTTTTTTTAATTTTTTTTTATTTTTACACACATATTTTGGTTTATCTTCCTTCTACAATCATTATCTGAAAATTAATGACTCAACTTCAAAGTCACCCTGTATATATATATGTATATAACAAAAATAGGAAAATAGTGGGCAAAATCCGCAAAAAGTGGATTCGAGCAGAAAATAGGATAGGTAACCCGAGCGATACGTATTTCTGCTGGTTGGCTTCATCAGGCCCGAAATGAATGCACATATGAAACTAAAAAAGTAGATACACATGCCCACACATCCGGATACGGGTGTATCCTGAGGAAACGAAGATGGAGAGGAACAACAGACACACGAAGTCCACAACAAGAGCCAACCTACACATTGTAGTATAAAATGGCTAGAAGACCTCGAATTTTCAAGGCGACAAATAACAACAACCACGCGGCCGGTTATACCCGTATCCGGATGTGTGGGCATGTGTATCTACTTTTGTAGTTGCATATGTGCATTCATTTCGGGCCTGATGAAGCCAACCAGCAGAAATACGTATCGCTCGGGTTACCTATCCTATTTTCTGCTCGAATCCACTTTTTGCGGATTTTGCCCACTATTTTCCTATTTCTACACTAAAATGACTAAAATTTGTCTTGAAATCATGTTCAGAGGGGATTTCTTGTAATTTGCGTCTTCAATGTGAAAATTGTAATTGCAATGTTGACAGATGTCTACACTAACAAGAGACATTTTAATACTCTATCGTCTTAGGGAAAAAGTAGTTGGCAAACAAAACCAACAAGAGACCGTTTGTGAAATTATCAATTCATTAAGCATACAAGAAAATAAAGATGAACTAAACATGTTGGAATTAGAAAATGCTCCAACAGTATACGTAATAGTCCGCTGCCTTTATTAAATCTTAGCTGCTAGACCGTTAAAATGAAAATTCCTCTCTAAAAATGAATACCGTATACCGCGACCAGCCTATAATTAAGTTGTAACGACCAAAATATCATTAATGAAACTATCTTACGTTCTAAAATTAGGAACCCTGAAATATAATTTTGTACTTATATTATGAATGGCATAGAAGGAGTAATTTCAATAAAGGTGCAGAAGATTTATTGGTCATTGTTTTCCTTCCCACGTCCATGTTTAAGCATAAAAAACATGAATATAATTTTAATAAGACGTTTTTTGGCATTTTATAAGGCAAATGAATTCGCATTACTATAAATGCTGAAGGGTAAGTGAATGATGATGCGCTTATTCGTGTATGCAACCCCATGCTGGCTTGTTAGGCTGCTGGGTGATTGGTACTGTCGGTAGGGTAGTAGGCTAATCGTAACGTTGTCGAATCTGTGGAGACTATGTACTAATTGTATGAGCTTGTCTGACTAACATGATCCATTTAATTCACTTATTATACATGTTCGTAGCAAAGAGAGACGACCTCGTGCCTAATATAATTGATAAGTGGGTTGCGTATGAAGTGCAGGGTGAACCTACTCGACGCCATTTTTTGGTCAACCACAATTCACAAACCGCGTGGTACAACTTAACGAACCGGTCCGATTAATTGTATTGTTTGAAATTTTTTTTAAAAAGCCTCTTATTTTAAACTCACTGTATTCACATAAGTTGCCTGTTGTGCATTTTGATAGAAACATGTAGCATAATCTTACTTTAAATTACTGTTTAATTTAAGGAAGTTACCCAACTTTATCCGACATTATCAGTTTGGTGTAACAGTCCGATGCGTACGATATGAACGCGTACCTTTTTCTATATAGTCAACGCCAAACAAAGTGGCGTGCACGTCATCAAGGTGGGTGTGTTGAAAAATTTACATTGTTGCCAAACTTTTTGTAAAATAATAAAATTTATTATTTAGATATCTAGGTTTATAAGCAATATTAACCTCAAATGAGAACAAAAATAATAGTATAATAAAATTATAGATCTGTACTTGCATAATCATTAAGTATGACAATTATTGATCAGATGACACTATGAAACTACCATATTTAATTGATAGCTTAAAGGTACTGAATAAAAATCCAAATGGGGTCCTCCAAATTTTATGCATGGTATTTATTTTACAGAATTCATACAGAAAAATGCATTCTAAAATTAGGTAAGCTACTGGTGTAAGCTTTTTCTGTACAATAAAGTTAGTCGGAGTTTCTTTCTTCAGCGCTGTCTGAATCTGAATCTTCATCACTCTCAAAGATGATTATTAAAGGTTCGATGTCTGGTCGATCAAAAATTCGTTCTCTTTCATACCATTTAAAAATTTCTTGCTCAGTATGTCGAACACTATTTTTCCACATGTCTGGGGTAACCGTTTGTAGAGCCTCGTTCCACATATCCAAACAGTCTTTTTCACTGTTACCATCTCTACCAATATGTCTGTTATAGTAACCTTTTGCTATGCCCCAAATTAACTCAATAGGGTTAAATATACAATGGTAAGGAGGCAGACGAAGAACTTTGTGCCCATGTTGTTCCGCCAATTCATCAATCACGTATATTTTAGGTGGTTTGTTTCTAAAAAAGCAGTTATTTTAAGAATAGGAATAAACAAAAGAAATATAAACTGTCGACCAAAATATATATAATTAAGAAGCATTATGTACCGAGCAACAATACTCAATAGCTCTGTTTTAAACATTGTGTTTAAAAATGGTATGTTTTGATTTGTCAACCAGTCTTGGATATTTTTTTTGTCCATGCATTGTTGGGCACTTTGTTCAATATCATGCTGTGATAAGGGGCGTTATCCAGTATAATCATAGATGGACTCTCCAATTTTTCTAATAACTGATGTTGAAACCATTTCAAAAAATTGTCCTGGTTCATCTCTCCATGGTAATCGCTCAATTTTGTTTTCGAAGAAAATATCGCTTCACTACCCTCAATAAACCCATTTTCATTTCCAGCATGTAATATAATGTATCTAAAATATATTAGTTTTAAATTTTATAGTGCAAATTGTGTAAAAGTACATACCTTTTACCATCTGTTTTAATAGCTTTCACGCTTTTTTGGTTTCCATTTTGCCAAGAGCGACCTATGGTCCCATTTTGAAATATCCAAGTTTCATCGAGGAAGACAAACTGGTATAAGGCCTCAACCTTGGCTTGATTGTATTGCCTTAGAAATTCCACCATTTTCAAAGCTATACTTGGTAGTTCCATGAGCCCTCGTCGCGGATTGTCTTTAAGCCACTTAAATCCAAGATCTCTAAGCAACCGCCTTAAAGACGTGGCACTACCATCAAATAATGCCCTATCTCTTAATCGAGACCATAAAGTTTGTTCTTCTGAAACCATGTGTAATATGACATTATAATTTAGTTAACAAATTAATGCAAATTTCTGATAAGTTATTATAATAAGATATTACTTTTGTGATACATATTATAGATCACTTCTCGAATGGCACTGGTATCCAATGTCGCTGTGTTGGTTACACGTTTAATATAACTCCGCTTTTTCTTGGGCGATTCTAAATTTGCATCACTTTTCACACCCTCGGAAATACGACTAACTGTCCTTAAACTAATTTTTAAAGCAGCAGCAACACGCTACAAAAAATGAAATAAAATTTCACTATTATTAATATACATTACATATAATTATTAGTAACCTACCTCTTGAACAGCATTTAAAGGCAACAAAGGCCCGTTGTTGTCCCTTTCTTGCTCAAAGTAGTGCATTAACGAGGCCACGAGTTCCCTACACCGACTATTTAACTGTTTGGGCATCTTTATATACCAAAATTGCCTTTATCTACTCGTAAAATGAATAATTTTGTTTTGAAACAAACAGTTGTTGATTTACAGTATGCGGGGCCAAAGGATTTATAAAGATTTGAAATGCCACAAATTGATTCAGTGTCAAAATTAATACAAATGTCAGTTCCCAGTTTAAATAAGTTTCAAGGTGACAATGTGTCAACGCTGCGAAATCGGTTTAGTGCGTTTACATGTCGATAAGTGATTGGAGCGTTTGCAAAACATTTTATTTCGCATAATGCGTCTAAATTTATCAGAAAGCAACTTATGTGATATTTTAATAACAATGTTTATATGACTATTAACCATAATAAGAGAGTAATGACCATTTTACAATTTATATATCACATTAATATGAAACTGCAATAGAGCAATTGTTTGTGATAGAAACCTAGGCATTAGGTCGGGGAATTTTTATCGTGATGACGTGCACGCCACTTTGTTTGGCGTTGACTATATCGAAGCAGCCGCGCAGGCAGAAGCCTCAATGCCAGGACACCGCTTTACGGCTTCTAAAAAGAGATGTCAGATGCATATGTCAACTCTAACCATACCAAACGTCCAAGTCACGAATTGTTTACGTTGACATTCCCTGTTTCGGAAATGGCACTACTGTCAAGATCAGTAGCAAAATTGCAATGCATATTATCACCAGTAAAGTTCAATTGGGATCATGCCGCTTACATTTCGATGAGAAGACGTAAAAAGCAGAAAAAGGAGGATGATCCGTGCCCCAACAAAACATGTGAGGAGAAAAAAACATTGTGGAGTTTTTTCAGAAAGACTAAACCTAAAAAGACGGAAAAGTCCCCATTCACTTCGTGCAGGAAGAGAGAAGGTATGCAATTCAGGAAAACCTATCTGCTTCTTTATATTTGCAAGTTTGTGAAATGTGGATATTAAATCAAAGCACGATCTTATTGAAGCTGCTTCATATTTCTGAACATAATCGTGTGAAGGCGACCCATAAAAAATAATGAACCCAAACATACGTATATCGTAAGTCTGTAGAACTCGTGCACTTTTCTGTACACTCAAGGTTGGAGGGGAGACAGGGGAACATATGATCCGCTCATCCGCTTTCAGTTCAAGTTTGAACTCGCTTGAGTCATTTGGTTGTCGGTAGCGATTTTTTTTTGAAACAGTTTTTTCTATTGTGTTCTAAAAATGAGTCTCATCTACTCGTATTTCAAGCAACGGTGTGCTATCCGGTTTTGCTTCAGATTTGGACACAGTGCAACGGAACTCTTGCTTAACAGACCTACGGAGATAGTCTTTTGTTAAGAGCACATGTTTTTCGGTGGTTTAGGTATTTTCAGAAGGCAGTGAGTCGATTGACGATCAACCACGAACCGGAAGGCTTTCATCTTCAAGAACGAATGAAAATATAGACAGAATCCAGGATCTTGTACGTTCAGATCCATGGTTGACAGTCAGAATGATCGGGAAAGAGTTGAATTTGACTGACACCACCGCTCATCAGATCAAGAACATTACGATAATGTTCCTTGTTCCCCAGCAATGTCAATAAACGGGTAAAACCATTCCTGTGGGTCCTCTTAATGGGTACTTTCATTTTACTTTTCTCTTTACTTCAAGTATTATTTTGAACTTTATAAATATATTTTTCATATTTTATTTTAGTTTTTAGCTGTAGGCTCAAGAAGAAACCTCCAATAGAATTATACTTAAAAACTATTTTATGCTGCACAAATTGGTTAAATTGAAAAGAGACTTTGAGTAATTCTGAAATGAAGGGAAACGTAGAGTAATGCCGTCACAATGTTAGATACAAACATAATGGTGAAGCTTTGAATAGTCAGAGCTATATTGACAACTGTCTTTCCAAATTGCTTCAGTTTGTCCATGAACATCATGCTAATGACCATATCATATTTTGGCCAGACCTAGCATCATGCCATTACTCAAGAGATTCCTAAAACTGACTTCGACAACACAACATACCTTTTGTTCCCAAAAACGATAATCCTACAGCCTCGCCCAATAGAGGATTTTTGATCGTTAGCGTCTAGTAAGTTTTATCATGACCAGGACCTCATGACAGACATTCAAAGAAAGTTACATCTGGTAGAGCAGAATGGGCCACTTTACATAATTCGATAGTATAGTTTAGTTAAGCATTGAGTTGTAATTTATGATAACTAGTTAGTGTGTAAATGAATTTCTTCATAAAAAAATCCGATAAATATTTTGTGCCAAAACTTTTACGTTAAGTGTTCAAAATTACCGGGGCTGAGAGCGTATACAATCAGAAAAAATTGAAATATACCCTGCTACCCCTAATTTTCACATATATATTTTTTTAAAAATGATCAGGGTCCTCTGAAACGTCAAAAAACAACGTTTGGGGAATTGTCATGTTTTTCGTCTAAGCCTTTTCCTCCGCCGCCACTAGACCGACTTTCAAAAACGTCATTGACGGATTAGTAAAATTGTGTAAAATTTTCATATAAATTCAAACAGTACTTTCCAAGTTATATAGGGGCCAAGGATTACTGGACAGACCGACGGAAATGAGTGACATGCTTTTTTCATGTCATATATCATGTCATATGGAATCCAAAAAACCTAATCTCATTTTCGATACTTTTTGCGATGACGATACTTCCTCGCCCAACGGCGTAGGAAGTAAAAACCCAGGGGTCATTCCTCTAAGTCGGACTTTTCAAGTACATATAAATATGGATATTATAAAACAACACAAATAAATTAACGAAAGTTTCGAATTAAATAGAAAATACAGTTTTAAGTCTTACATTGTTATTTTTTATTGAGCCATACAGTACTTAGGATAGGGTTATGTACGGAATATCACATCAGGCAAATGGCCCCAAGACTGTGCTGGCACATACCCACTTTTTTACCGAAATTTTTAATGACCTTTCTGCATAATTGTGGCTGAATTTCGTTGGTGCACCGTTTAGTTTCCTCTTGAAATGCACGGGTGGGCTCGTTGACATAGACCTTCGACTTTAAATAACCCCTTAAGAAGTAAGCTAATGGTGTTGAATGACACGATCTAGGGGGCCAATTCTGATCACCGAAACGGGAAAGTACACGACCAGGAAATGTCTCATGCAGTACTTAAATTGCTGCACTGGCTGTATGGCATATGGCACCGTCTTGTTGAAATCACATATTGGATACATCCACAGCATCCAATTTCGGCAGAAAGAACTGTGTTATCATGTCGTGATATCGAGCACCAGTGACAGTTACTGCTTCACCAGCCTCATTTTCAAAAAAGTATTGTTCAATGATGTCTCCAGCCCAAAATCCACAACCAAATAGTGACACATTGTGGGTGCATTTGTTTTTGCAAATGTGCTTCATCGCTTAGGATGATTTTGCTCGAAAAATCAGCATCCACTTGTTGATGTTCAACAATCCATTCCACAAACTCTCTTCGCTGTTCAAGGTCATCAAGCTTCAGTTGTTGTATTCATTAAATTCTGTAAGCATGGAGACCACGATCCTTTATGAGCATACGCTGTTCTTGAAATTTGCTATTCTTGTACACGACGCCGAATTGACGTTCCTGGGTTTTAGGCAACTTTCTCATGCACTGCTTCAACATGGACATTTGAACGGCTTGTTTTTGGATGACCGGTGTGTTTAGGGTGTCCAACTGATCCAGTCTCCCTGAATTTTTCAATTAATCTTTTCACAGATGACGAGGTTTAAACACTATTCCGCCCATATTTTGAAATAAATAATGAAAACACGTTGTTGTATCGTATATAGTTTTTTTAGGGCTGCCTACAATTTACTGCATGGCAGCAAATCTTGCGTTAATTATGAGACACTCTTTATATGCGCTGAAAACGTAACCCATACAGATGGGTGAGTTTTTCCTGAGAATTCAGACAAAAGTCTTCAGAGTGTAGCTAGGGATCATGTAAGTTAGTCCGTGAGTGCACACTTGTTCTAACGGTAGAGTTTTTCCGCCGGAATGAGTTTTCCTCCGGTATTATGCGAAAAACTCTCTTGTATCTAGTTTAGGTTTTCCATATATTTGCCGCATCTTAAAATCGATTGCTTGCACTAACAGGGAACATAAAAGGCCGATACTGTTCCTCTACAATATGGTTTACAGTTGAAGTCTTCACAATGCAGCCCTATTTTGTGGAAGAGTTCTTACAAGCAAACATATTAGGTTAAGTGTCATCTGGTCGGTCGTTCCTACAATTGTAGGACGTCTTTATGGCCTCATTGATTTTCGTACCTTTTCAAGTCAAATTATCAGCCTGAAATATCCTACAATTAAAAAAACATAATAAGGAGAGCGCCGACACGGAACAGTAAAAATCTAAAAATACCCCAGCCTTTTTGAAGGAGAGAAAAGACTATTAAAATCAAGGGGGCTACAATTGTAGGAGTGACTAACGATACGGCCTTAACGGGGCTCCTACAATCACGAGCACCATCTGCTGAGGTAAGGGGGGGGGGTGAAAAGGAAACGATTGTGGGCTGGTCTTAGACGGTGGTCGGCGCTACTTTAAAAGAGGAAAGGATGACTGCGGGTGCCTACCCTGGTAAATTTTTATAATAACAGAGTCGGATTTCGATTAGCGACCTAGGCTTTAAATCGTTTCCTATTTTGGTACTCAGCTAGTGATTATTTAGTATTGTTCTGCCTTTGTTACTGTTCGTGGATATTGTGTTGTTGAATTGTTGTGTTGTACTCTTGTTGGTGTGATTGTTCTTGAGTGAATTTTTTATCAAGGTTGATAATGGACAATAAAAGGTTATATGCGACAATTTTAGTTACGAATTCAGTGAGTTTAATTCATGATGAGGACAACAATAGTGTGGAGCAGTTCAAGTCTACGAGAATCGCAAAATACATTGGGGTAAGCGAATAAATTATTGCAAACAGAGGTCATACCATGGAAGATGTGCTGCAGCTGTAGTGAGACACAATACCCAGCGGCCTGTACGTATATATGTGGTCTAAATACATTTGCGTTCTAAGCTTAGTCCAATCTCGCTTATCGCTAAGATGGAACAAAGACTGAAATGCAAGAATCTTGAAAAGAAACTCAGACCAAAAAAAGCTGATATAAAAATAACTAACAATTTGGATAGCAATTCCAAAAAAAAAATGAATAGTTTTATGGTGAATTCTGTCAAAAACCTGACATGAACATTGATTTGGAGGTTGCTAAGCAAGAATTTTTAGGGAAACTTAGAATAAGTGGCGACGAGAGTTTGCATATCGAACAAGTCACCAAATCACAGGACTGTGCTTTGTGGCGTCTTCATCGGAGGATAAGGTTGATAGCGTCTCGATTTGGTGAAGTTTGTAGAAGAAAGCAGACAACAAGCTGAAAAGTTCTAGTAAACTGGATCATATACCCAACAGAGTTTTCTAGTAAGGCAATAAAAAAAGGCAACATAAAAATCATTGGACACGGCAGTTCGATCTTGTGGTTTCTCTTATTTTGACGGCATAAGATATTTTTATGACCCTCGTTCAATTTTTACCATCTACCACACGACCCTTGTGAACATAATTGTGTTATTGGCATGAATAAACGAATTAGAATTTGAGTTCTTGAATTTATTTTAGGAAAGATGTAAAATTATTTGAATACATTTTTTCTTAGTCGGAACGCACCGTCGGTCGCGTAGCTTGGACTGGCAGGACGAAACAGTACATGAATTTCGCCCAAAAACCGATTTGCACTTCACAGCTTACTTTTTATTATTTCCAAATGAAACTCTTACAGCGTGCTAAAAACAAAGTCCACAGGGTGCCAGCGATCCACTTTTTCGATTTTATCCACTAGGATCTTTTTAAAATATCAACAAGTTGAGCACAAATAGTGAGCATTTCAGCCCACCATAATTCTTGCGCAAAGACAAAATTTTGTAAAAGGCTCTGATAGCACCCTAGGCAATTATGGCCTGCTTATATCCAGAAAGACATCACAAACTGCAGAGCACAAAAGGTAACGGTGAAATGGGTACATTTCACGGATTATGAAATTCAAATGAAAATGCAGGTATAAAATCTACCAAATGATCGTTCTCAAAAACATATTTCCTTGACATATCGATAATTTTAAAGTTCCACCCTAAATTCCCCTATACTTGACTGGAGTGATATCCGAATTTATTCTTCCCTACTGCCGGTAGTTGCAGATCTGTTGGCTGTTGGTGTCAAACCTATAGAGCAGGTACCGATTTTTTGAAATCGTGAGCACATTATTCGTCAGATTTTCGATACTTAAATTTCCACTGCGATCAGAAGCTACTTAGTAATAGAACGTGTTTCACTGATTTCAACCCCCCCTTTTTAAGCAGTACAATTTTTTAAGTCAATGATTAGGAACCCCTGAAACGTCAAAAACGGAGTTTCAGCAATTGTTACTTTTTGTTTTTTGCCTATAGCACCGTTGCCACTGGACTAAAACTTTGGCATACTAGTAACCGCGGAAATTTCATAAAAATCCGAGCGGCAATTTCGAAGTTGATGATGAGTGATACAGTTTTTCGTGATGTAGATGTCATATGACTTAAAAAAACATAACATCTCATTTTAGAAATTTTTCGCGATTACAATAATTCCTCGCCAATGACGTGGGAAGTAAAACGGCTTTAAAATCGAGGAGTATCAGCGATCGCGATTATGTGTACCTATTTGCAGAACGACTTATCTACGCGATATTATATAGGGCCACCAAATTACCTGAACACGTCCTTTCTTAGTCCGTACATTGCGCCGCAACGCTTGGTTTGGCGACACGAAACAAAATTGACGCTTTATTTTTTGATATTTTTGGATGAAATTTTCACAGAGTACTGAAAACAAAACCCCACAGGGTGATATAGAGCCACTTTTTCATTTTTTTCACTAGCTTCTTTTTAAAAAAATCGCGAAGTTGAACAGAAAAAGTGCGCACTTCAACCCATCATAAAACAAAATTTCACCCTGGGCAATTATCTTCTCAACATACTGTATGAATTTTATTCAAAAATATTGAAAAATGGAGTGTCAGTTTTGAAGCAGCTGAATCCTTGTAAATGGCTTGAAACTCACTGCGGCGGAGCCGCCTTAAGTAATGTTACTATATTGCAATGAATCTTGCTCAGCGGGAGAACTTGTGCAGCCGTTTTTGAGCACGGTTCTTTCGTAACATAATAGATCTTGCTTTCACAACTAAGATCCCTATTCCATAAATCGCCCCCACACAATGCTCCAATTTAAATATCGTTACGCACGCAACCTACCATAGCAAGAGACACGCAAACATCAACGGAATTTCACCGATGCTTCAGCTAAGGAAAACAAAATAAAAAATAAGTTTCACTTCTTAGGAAGACATGTCATTTTACGGCTAGCGAGGAAAATTGTCTTGAGATGATTCCATGTGTATGTAGACTATGAAGAATCAGTTACACGTGTTTGTGTTTATGAAAGAATGCACAACACCTGGTCAATACGGCAATAACAATGCCTGTATTTCTGCACTGTATTCAGGGCCGGCTCAAGAGTTGATTGACATCCCAGGCGAGTGTATTCCTCGCACCCCGCCCTCCCATTCCCCTAGTAATTCTGCTTCAAATTTATAACACGATAAAAACAAACCAAACTGCTATTTTTTTGATACACACTAATACGAGTATAAGCTACAAATATTTTTCCACACGCTACATTTTCTGTTTTTTAGCTTTCTGTTTCGAAAATGTTCCAACCAAACCAATGGTCGATTTTTTTGTGCCATCTCTTGTTTAGAAGAAATGGTTGCAAACTCTCTTCAGCTTTGATTCCATTCTGAATAATAAAAAAGTAAAAATCTGGAAAGCTATCCAATTTTTGTTATATATATTAACGATATAAGAGTATAGTACAACTTTTTAGAAATATTTTCCATCTGTGTAACTTCAGTATTTGTGCAACAAATATTTTTCAAAACACGCAGTAAAAAGCGACATCAGTTTTTTTAAGTAATTAATTACATTACAGTTTTCTGAAATAACGTTTTTATTAATTTATTGATTGACACTGGGTTGGTCTCAATATTTAACTGTATTAGAAAACTACACAACTGTTGTATAAACCATTTTTTCCCTCAAGAAATACGGACAATAAACAGTTTCTGATCTATACTAAGTGACATATAAATCCGAACACCCAGTTTAAATGGTTTTATTTTAATAAAATTTTGTATAAGTACTTAATGAAGCATAATAAGTAAATGATAAAAATTTCAAAATGATTGCACTGCTTTAAAGCCCTTTGACCTTTAATAATGTGTGGATGCACCCTGATGTGCTACGCATTCTCCAACGCACCTAGGCATGCTTCTGATCACCACCAACTCCTCTCGAAGTGCTTCTAGAGTCTGAGGAGGAATTGGGGATAAGTTGGGGAAAAGTCGGGAGATCTTGGTGGCCATGGTAACAATGTGACATCATTATGTTGAAAGAAGTCTATTGTGACTCTTGCAACATGTGGTCGGGCATTATCTTGTTGGAAAGTTGGATCTGCCAGGGTGTCAAGATAGGGTAAAAGATGGGGTTCTAGAACTTCGTGGATATAACGCTGCGCGTTCATTTTACCTCTGATGAAGATTAAAGGTGACCTGGAACCATAAGCTATATCACCCCAAACCATAACTCCAACAGTGTGATGAATATGTCTTTCAACAAAAAACTGTGGATTCCTCCTTTCACCACGTCGCCTTCTAACCTTGGCACGACCACCGTGCATGCCTAAACAAAATCGAGACTCGTCACTAAAGACAATACTGTTCCATTCCTGATCCCAGAGTGACCGTTGTCTGCACCACTCAAGGCGATTACTTCGGTGTTCTCGAGTTAAAGGGAGGACCCAGTGTGGCCGGTATTAAAACAAGCCAAAACTTCTCATTCGCATGCCAATAGGTCTTCCGGTTCTGCAAACCATTCATTTGCAATGGACTTGGTAGTGGAGAAACGGTCCCTTAAGGCCAATAATCTTAGGCGGCGATCTTCACGGTCTGTTGTTCTACGGCGGCGTCCAGTGCCCCTTGCTCTTTGCGTACGGCCTTCTCGAAGCCATGCCTGACAACACCTAACCACAGTGTCTACACTTCTTTGCACTCTAACTGCAATTGCCCGAAAAGAAAGTCCACTATACGGCCCCTATCAAACTCACTAAGTTGACGAAATCGTACAGGTCTCCGTACTCTAGGCATCGTAATCGATCGTAAAGGATGTCAAGAACCAAAATCCGCCGCATTTGAATCATTGTATTTTTACATTTTTCCATATAATCGCTTTCAATTTCCCTAGAAATGGTGCTTGCCATAATTAAGCGTAATCAAATTGATGTTTATGTCATCCCACAAGTAAAAATGGCATAATGTAGGTTGACAGCATTTATCACGCAACACTGTGATCAGTTCCTAAAAGGTTAGGTTCGGCACAAGTTAGACCGAGAAAAAAGTTGCTACGAACTGTACAACAGAAAAACTAAATAGATCAAGTCAGTCCAAAGTCCCCATGAGAAAAACTTGTCCGGGCAAAAAATTGTAATTTATTAAAAAAATTGTTAACCAAATTTAATCAGGGTTACCGTGCGGGTATATACAATTCGTAAAAAAACAGATAAAATTATAATATTGGAGGTCGTCAAGTATCTAAATTAAAATTAAAACCTACAGCACCTACAATAGCTTGAGTAGTATTTTGGGATTAGTTTATACTAAAGCGATTTCAACCTTGTTTTTCAGGCCAAAATTGGCGAAATTTTCGTTTTCGCAGACCGTACGTTCGTTGCGTTGCGGTGCGTAAGACCCGTGTGTTGAATATGTTTCTCTAACACTCGAAGTTTTCGGGCCAAATGTATAGAAAATATGCCCGATATGTGCGTATAATACTGGAGTTGGAAGCGCATATATTTTCGCAAAAAAATTGAGATATGCTCTCCTTCACCCCCTACTATCCAACCCAGAATTTTTAACCCAGTCAAAACTTTTCTCTGAAAATGACCAGGAACCTCTGAACCACTAAAAAACGAAGTTTGAGAGGTTTTATTTTTTTTTTCGTTTTTTACTTGTAGCTCTACTCACACTGGACCGTTTTTCAAAAGCTTGTTTTTCCAATAGGTGCTTTCCAAGTTACATGATTTTTCGTGATATACAAATATAATGTAACAGCCACAAAGGTAACACCTCATCTTCGATTTTTTCTCGATTACAATACTTCTTCACTTGTTGGACTGGAAAGAGGAATCAATTGGGGTAAGTTCAGGTATGCTACGAGGCGTGGTAGGCAGTAGATAATGTTCCATTCTATTATTCAACTAAGAACGTATTTAGAAGTTCTATTGCCGGTACGGGGATGTAAAGAGAAAGAAAGAGAATTTGTAAGAGCCTAATCCAAAAACACTTGATTGTTTCAGCTCTTCGTAAAAACCAACCAGATCCAGACTTCTCCCAATTCAATGGAGACGTCTACCGCACGTGTGGCTCTGCCTACATCATCCAACAGGACAAAGTGAAACTTGATTGCGTTGCGCCAACCAAAGGAGATTCACCAGATGATAAGCTAGTGGACAGGTTAGAGGCACATCCGGATATCAAAGATGTCGTTGATCCTTTGCCCGATTTTGTTAGCGTTGAACAGAGGTTGCTTGATTTGTGCGAAAAGAAACTGCACCCGCTTTATAAGAAGTAAGATTAATATCAGTAATATCATTCATTAAGGTATTTTACCTGATGATAGCCAACCATAATCATATTCAGGGTGTCCCAAGATACGGATCTTATGCATGGGGATCTCAATACCTGTGGGAGATTCAGCTTGGGTTAAACTAGAAAAAAGCTGCCTTCTTTGGGGCGCATTTACATGCCGTTGAGAAGCTTGCAAAACTTTCATGGCTTACTGAGAAATATCAAAAAACTAATGGAACTTTTTCATTGCCACTTTTTAGGCACTACAAGTTTTAGTTTTTCCCAAATATCTCAGTAAGCCATGAAATTTTTACAAGTTTCTAATTATTGCGGAGAGGAGAATCATATTTGTGCCAGATACTCATAGATGGCGCCAGAGGTCTGATTTCGTTTCGGTTGTTTTTTTTACGCCAAAATATGTCCTAATATTGATTGATATTGATTGATTGCACAGCTGGTTTACGAGACATAGGATAAAAATGCCGAGAGTTTTTCCACAGGATACAGTAAGATCACGAAAATAATCTAACAGTTCATCTCGCAGTGCACCTCGTCATCTGTCCCAGTACATCACCGTCATCTCATTGTTCCTATCATAGGCATACTCTGTTGAACAAATCGTGGGTATGCCATCCTCATTGTTAATTAAGCAGACAGATTTTAATTGAGTTGGGTAGCGATGTTAGTAACGATGGAGATAAGCACACAGTGAAAGTGCCTAAACCAGGGTCCAACGGCTGGTTTAACACATCATGTGAGACTGCTCGCCAGCAGAAGATCAAGGCACACAGAACCTTTTTACAAAGCCCCACTGTAGAGAACAGACAAGCTGACGTCGAGTCCAGAAACAAATATAACGAAGAGGTTCGCAATGCCAAAAACCAGCACGATATGAAAGTTAGACACAGGCTAATGCCGCAGCGCAATGGCAGTCGGTCTTTCTGGACGCTGGCCAAGCAGATTGAAACGAAATTCTGACACAATAGCCTTCCACCACTTACGTGTCAGGGTAGAACGATTGTATCTGACTCAAAGGCCAAGGCGGAAATGCTTGCCAAGATCTTTGCTGCCAACTCCACCATGGACGTTCCCCCCCAATGCCCAAATGCCGTCAATTCAAAGGCTTCCCTACACTATGCGGGAGGTAACATTCAGGCATAAGACCGTAAGACGAGTGCTCTTGTCATTCGACATCAACAAAGCTCCTGGTCCGGATTTGATTCCTGCCATTGTACTGAAGAGGTGTGCAGCGGAGCTTGCTCCAGTTCTTTCGCGTCTCTTCCAGATATCTTATGAATCCGGCACATTCCCAGAAAACTGAGAATTTGCTCATGTCCAACCCATTCCACAAAAAGGATCTAAGACCGATCCTTACAACTAGAGGCCTATAGCTCTGCTTTCTGTTATAAGTGAGGTGATGGAGAGGTGCATAAATCGCAAGCTTCTGGACTACCTCGAACATCACAGCTTGATTAGCGACAGGCAGTATGGTTTCCGGCACCAGTGATCATAGCTTACGTCGCGCAATTGTGACAACTCATCCAGTCTTATGTTGAGGTTTGTCCCGAGGGTGTCGAGATTGTGGAACAATCTATAAGAGGAAGCTTTTCCCAGTTCTATTAACCTTAGGCAGTTCAAAAATCGTATTAACAAAATTTCTTTGGGATCATCACAGCAGCCACGGTGTTCCGGCATTTAGGCTTCTGCCTGCGCGGCTGCTTCGATATAAAGAAAGCATCATGGCTAGCTGAACTGATTCACTGTGTCCGTGCGCTAAGGGGAGCCATCAAAAGATATTAGTCTGTATTATTCCTGTTTAAACTCGGAAAATTTGCATCACTGATGAATTTAACTCAATAAAATGACACTGATGTTTTTGAAAATCCATGAGAATTCTGAAAATTTTCATTCCAGCTGGTAGACACATTTCTCGTGTGTATGCTTCTCAAAAATGTTATCTGCACAGAGCCCTCTTAATCTGTGTTCGATGCCATTTGAAGTCGCAAGTTTTATACACCCTATATCGAAGCATTTGTTGTCGTCTGTAAACAAACACGTGGTACATATTTCTTGACCATTCCTAAACACCAATAATTTTTGCAGGTATATGTTCATGCCAAAGAAAAAATCTCAAATAGAAATAACGAAGTTTTCGTACAAATCAAGAAGTGGCTGCATTAAACCAGACGAGATTCCAGAACAGCTGAATATCAATAAAGAACTATTTGAGAAAAAGAACCTATTCGCAGACTTCAAAACAGTAGAACCTCCACGGCAGTTGGTATCAAAACTGGCTGAAATCAAACTGAACGCCAGGCCCACATTAGAGGAGAGTGTAAAGAGAACAAGCAAGAACAACAAAAATCAGACAAAATGATTGTCAAAGTAAGATATTTTGCTGATTTTTGTAAAAATACAATCTTCAACTGTCAGTGGTTTCACTTCATATTACGTGCCCCTAAAGTTTTGAGTACCCAATTTTTTTTCTTCATTAGATTCTACTGTAAATGTGTATTTAAGGCATGCACAACAACAAACATGCATGAAGAATGGTGTGTTGATTTATCATTAATTACTGTACTGTCAATAGATCATTTCCAAGATCACCCCGCTTCAGAGGTAGTTCTTCTCGGTGATTTCAATGCCCATAATGAGCTTTGGTTGGGCTCAAACAAGACCGATGCACCATGTCGTGCAGTCGAAGCGTTCGCTCTTACTCAAGGGCTGATCCAGCTGATGACGAGTCATACTTTTTTCCCCTGCGTCTCGTCACACGCCAGTAGCCTGCTGGATCTCTTTCTGACCACGCATCCTGTCCCCCCTGGGTAACTCAGACCACGGTGTTGTGGAGGTTAGGTTTCGGTCAGAACCCGCTGTGGCAGCAGAAACTCGTACAGGCCGCAAAACTTGGCATTACGGACATGCCGACTGGGAGGGGCTCAGAGATTTCTTCTCTAGCTTTCCTTGGGGAAAGATGTCTGTTTCACTGACGCTGCTGGGAAAAAGCTAGGCTATTTGTTTAGGGCTAAGAAGTACTTTTCTCCGCATGACCTTCTCACTCTATCCAAGGCCCAGATAAGGCCTAGCCTCGAGTATTGCTCACATGTTTGGGGTGCTGCCACCCCGATTACATTATCCATGCTGGATGCTGTCCAGAGGACGACGGTCCGACTAATCGATGACTCTTCTCTAACAGACAGTCTCGGGACCCTTTCGCACCGGCGGGCCGTCGGCGATCTAGCTTTTTTCTACCGCTACACCAACGGGCTTTGCTCCTCAGAGCTCTCTTCCATGATGCCGCCGCGCGATGTGCATGCCAGGCAGACCCGCCTGACTTTGACGTCCCATCCTAACCGTGTCGAACTTCGTACATCCAGAACTGACCGATACGACCGCTCCTTTGTCCCGAGGGTGTCGAGATTGTGGTACAATCTACAAGAGGAAGCTTTTTCCAGTTCTACTAACCTTAGGCAGTTCAAAAATCGTATTAACAAAATTTCTTTGGGATCATCATAGCAGCCGCGGTGTTCCGGCATTTAGGCTTCTGCCTGCCCGGCTGCTTCGATATAAAAAAACCTGAATATGAACAAAATCCCAAAGGTCTTATGAAAAATGGGGTCAAGTAGCTTGACTCTGTACTTCCCACGCAATTCTGGACAAATGGACTTTGAATATGCAGCATGTATAGTGTCTAAGACGACTCCAGCACACTCTGGTATCTTTACTTTTTGGCGGCTATGAATATGCTTGTACCGAGTCGAATGAGAATCAGTAAAAAACTTTTAATAAATTGAAATTATGGACCTTGAATGTGCACTGAGTTAACTCGAACTACTATCGCACTCGCAAATTTATAAATAATAAAACGTCTTTCATTGATACCAAAGATACAACATTCACAATTCGCTATTGTCTTAAAAAACAAAGTTTGAACGATTCTTATTGTTTCGATTTTTGCCCCTAGCTCCGTCGCTACTAGACCGCTTTCCAAAAAGTACAAAGCTTTGCGTCGATGGCTTTTTTTATACCGAAGCAGTCGCGCAGGCGCAGGCTACTATGAGGATCCCAAAGAAAGTTTGTTAATCCGATTTTTGAACTGGGAAAAGCTTCTTCTTGTAGCGACACCATCGGGACAAAGGAGCAATCGTTTCGGCCAGTTCTGGATGTTCGACACGGTTCGGATGGGAGGCCAAAGTCAGGCGGGTCTGTCTGCCACATCGCGCGGCGGCATCATGGAAGAGAGCTCTGAGTAGCAAAGCCCGAAGGTGTAGCGGAAGAAGAGAGCTAGATCACCTACGGTCCGCCGATGTGAAAGGGTCCTGAGACTGTCTGATAGAGAAGAGTCATCTATCAGTCGGACAGCGTCGGCTTGGTAACCTTGTGAAAATTTAATCAAAATGTGACCAGTACCTTCAAGTTATAGGGGGGGGGGGCAAGAGAGCAACATACAGACCGACATACACACGGAAATGAGAAAACCGTAACATTCCGCTTTCAAAATCTTTCGCGATCATACAGGGTGCGGCAGAGAGGATGGACGGTTTTAAATTAATTTTTTTCCGATAACTAATTTATTGATGGAATCAGGTTCACAAGGAAATAGCATTTGAGGCAGTCAAGTGTGGAATATCACATCAGGCATGTGGTGGCCGAAATCGTTGATGCAGTCCTGGAGGCGTTCTTGGAAGTTCGCGTAGACTCTCTCCAACATCGCTCTCACAACTTGGGCGACTTCCACGCGAATTTCGCCCTTCAATTCATCCGGAGTTCGGGGCTTGTTCGCGTATACTCTAGCCTTGAGGTGCCCCATAAGAAAAAATCGCATATGGATAAATCTGGGGACCGGGGAGGCCAATGAACATCGCCAAACCTGGAAATAAGGCGACCAGGGAAGAGAGGGCGAATAACGTCCATGGATGGTCGGGCTGTGTGGGCGGTCGCCCCATCCTGCGGAACCACACACGTCGGATTGGAACACGTCGCCGTCGTAATTCAGGGAGAAAGAAGTTGGTGATCATGTCGACGTAGCGCTCTGAGTTCACGGTAACATCACGACCATTACCGTCTTCGAAGAAGTAAGGGCCAATGATGCAAGTTTGCGATACAGCGCACAAACCGTTACTTTCGGGCTGTGCAGCGGTCTTTCGTGTAACTGTTGTGGATTTTCATTAGCCCAATAACGACAATTCTGCTGGTTAACCATGCTGTTTAGGTGAAAGTGGGCTTCGTCACTCATAAAGACCTGCCGAACGCGTTCAACATTTTCAGGAGTTCGAACTGTTCGCGGCGCTCCTCTTGGTCTTCTGTTGATCAGTTCACCACGCCTGCGAAGTGATTCAACCCAACGAAGGATGGTGTTTCGAGAGGGAACAGTCCTATTCCGATGAATGTTGAAGTGGCGACGAAACTCACGCTGTACGACGATGACTGACTCATTATTTCGGACGAAACAATCATAGGCGAAAACGCGGTGCTCCACCATCCAAGGCTTCATAACGACAACTGGTAAAATAATGCTAGGATCTCACGAGTCAAACGGCACCCTCCACACCTCTCTCGTAGGCGAAGGCGGTGAGTACTACCCATCCCAAAAACGTCCGCCCTCTCTGCCGCACCCTGTACTTCCTCACCAGTGGCGTGGGAAGTGAAACCGACGAAGTGGTTACCGAAATTTTACGGCATCAATTGCCATTGGCCATTAAAGCCATCCATCCATTGGATGATATATTTTACAGATATTTCGGAAGCCTTTGTGAATGTCAAAAAAGATTCAATTTTGAAATGAATATTTTTCGTCATATTCAATAGTTGCTATCATATACCACCGGTACTGCACTAAAATCGATGATTTGATAACAATTCTTGAGTTCGTAGAAAAATCTTATTCTTAGGATAGTGGCATGTATTTGGTCATCTTTTCTCGCTTGACTAAGTCACAAGAGAAATAGAGAAGCTATGTAAGGGCTACAAATTTGAGAAAGGCATTTAAATAAGAAAAGTGCGATTCTCCAGCAGTTGAACAGTTTGGACGAAGAAATTGAACAGCCAGTCACTAGTAAATGAACAGCTAATCATTTTTTCGGGTCATGCAATTTTTTTGTACATTTGCACATTACAGATCTTTTTTCATTGTCCGTTGTCATTTTACTTTTATATGTTGTATAAATATTAACGCGTACATCCAGTCTACAACACCTTAGTCTAGAAATCTGAAAAAAAATCCTGTATCAAAAATATTTTTAAATATCTCAAACAAGCATGTAGGCCGTAGGCCTGGTTGGAAATGAAAAGAAGCAGGATAAATAAAGTCATTATATGTATATGTTGCTCACATATTTCACCCTCCATGAACTTTTCGGCAGCGAAACTATTTTTCTTTTTTGTTGTCGTTTTTCCTTCTCTTTCCTTTCTTCCTTATTTTCCTTTTTTATTTTAACGATTTTTTACTTTGACGTACTTTGCTTTGTTCCCGTCTCCTTCCTGACATAGTTTTTATTATTCAAATTACAATTATCCGAATTATCGTCTCAAAATATACTGAGTGACATTAGAAGTGTTACACCTAGAAAAAATAATTTCTTCATCTTAATTTTTTGGCAACATAATGACTATTTAAAGCATGCTGTGGCAAACATGTCAACGTTTTATCTTTGTTTTTGTTCACCTTTGCTAAAATGTTATCTCTTAGTTCTTGTGAAGAAAAAAGCAGTTTCTGTGCTGAGCATAACAAAATATCTCGAGTTCGAAGACGTCCAAATTATCACCATGTTGACAGGGGTAGAATTATTTTGCCTATCGAGATATTGGTTTGTCCTATCGCAAAATCGGCCGCCACTACAATGACGGTAATGCGTGTGTGTCATGTGTGGATAGAAGAAGGTAGAGGAACACGAAGAAGGCCAACTGGTCCACCTAGACGTACCACAGAGCGTCAAAATTGTTTTGGAGAAGAAGGTACGGACGATGGTCGTAGAAGGGTAAGACGCCGCCGCGGAGAAAGGCGTATATTGGACACTGCCACAGCTAATTCACGAAATTCGAGTTGCTCGGAATGAGGTGCCACAACCCGAAATCGATCATGTCATTTTGCCGATTGCATCAGTAGTTGAACACCTGTTCATCCACTGGAAAAGGAAGCAAAAACAGTCTGTAGTAAATGTACCGGTATTAGCCTACTGGAGAACCACTCTTCAACTAGTTCTAGTATCGGAACACCAGATTTTGTTAACCATATGACATGTATACTAAGTGACATATAAATCCGAAAACCCTGTTTAAATGGTTTTATTTTAATAAAAGTTGGTCAATGTATTTATCTTACTGTAAATAACAAGTGAAAAAACTTTCAGCCTTATCAGTTGGACATTCCGGTTTTTATACTGCTTTCTTTTTAATTCACTAACGCTCTAAAAATGAATATTTCAGCCGCAGTAAAGAATCAACGTTGGCAAATTTTGGTTCTTGACATCCTTTACGATCGGTTACGATGCCTAGAGTACGGAGACCTGTACGATTTCGTCAACTTAGTGAGTTAGATAGGGGCCGTATAGTGGGACTTCGGGAAGCTGGACTTTCTTTTCGGGCAATTGCAGTTAG